CCTGATTCTACCACATGGTGACACACAAGCTATTCTAAAAAAGTGACGTATGACGGAGTCTTCCACCGAGCAGTCTACATGCTTTTTGTTCACTTGGTATGTTCAATCACCCATTTAAACATCAAACCCTTCATCCCACCCTCACTCTGCTCCCACCCACCCCCCACCCTCACACAAACAAAACACATATCATTATAATGTAGTCGCAAAAGGCCCCAATTTTTAAAGTAGGTCTAAATCTCGAAAGGAAAGTCATGAGACGACTGAGAGTTCTTTACTCATTACACTAAAAAAGGCCTTGAGGGCACGTTTAGCATTCTTCCAGTACCTTGTGCGAAATTTACGAAAATTAATTTCAAGGATGGTGAGTAGGTGGAGAGGTAATTTCAGTTCAAAACGTTCTCTGCCTCGGATTCTTTGATGTATAGTATAAGAACACATAGTTCTCTACTCATTACTGAACTGAACCATAATCTCAGAAGGCAAAAGAAACTTGAGAAAAACAATATCTGCAAACTTCTTCTTTTTTTTTTTTTAGTAAGTGTTTTACGGCGCTCGCAACTGCATAAGGTCATATGAGCGCGCAGGACACATTAAACATTTTCAATTGGTAGGAAATTTTGAATTTTGCCCGGGTGGCGGCCGAAACCTACTCTTATCGATTTTAGACCACCAAGGGATCTTTAACGTGCGCAACATGCACACGGGACCTCCAAGTTTTTTCGCCCCTGTCCGAGAAGGCTTGGTGTAGATCTTTCCTACCAGAAGATCAGGGGTGTGGCTGAAAGACAGCAGTAAGAAGGAGCCAAGGAGTAGCAGTAGAAAGGCTGCAGAAAGAGCCAGGAGCCCAAAGCAGGGGGCAAAGGAGGCGAGGGGGTGTGCAAACTTCTGTTGACTTGTTAGACTGCCGTAGCTTGCAAATATGGGTTGATCGTTACGACTTTTAGCAGAAGGTCTATTGTGCACTGGTGACAAGACTGAAAATAAGTTGTTTATTTTACGCACCATATAGAGCGAAACTGTTTTGTGGAATTATCTTAAATGTATATAAGTCAAATTCCTGACCCTCTCAACTGACACCTCTGTTCTTGTTTCCAGAAGTGTATCTCTTCAAATTCAGCAACTCCTAATCTTACAAAGAAGAAGCATCAGGCAATGTGGTCTTGAGAAGCTTCTTCTAAGGTGTATGGGGAAATTATGTTACAGCGCTTCAGGGATGCCTTCAGCGTATTTCTGTACATACCTATTCACTGACTGACTAACGGACCTACAATTACGTTCTCGCATAATCATAATCTCTCCCCCCCCCCCCCCAAAAAAAAAGGAAAAAAAAAGGAATAATTGTGGTTTTAAAAAATCATCAATTCACCCTGTCACTCAGACAAATGTTAGATGGTTGTAGGTTTAATTATAGCAAATTTATGTTTTCACGTGGGGATAATTAATTTGCTTTGAGCTGTTACTTGACTTTTTTTCGGTCACATATTGCAGGAACAATATTAGTTGACAGGCACTCACTCACTCACTCACTCACTCACTCACTCGCTCACTCATTCACTCACTCATTCACTCACTCACTCGCTCATTCACTCACTCATTCACTCACTCACTCACTCACTCGCTCATTCACTCACTCATTCACTCACTCACTCACTCACAGGCACTCACTCACTCACTCACTCACTCGCTCACTCGCTCATTCACTCACTCATTCACTCACTCACTTGCTCAATCACTGGCTCACTCACTTGCTCACTCACTCACTCACTCACTCAATCGCTCATTCACTCACACATTCACTCACTCACTTGCTCAATCACTGGCTCACTCACTTGCTCACTCACTCACTCACTCGCTCACTCGCTCACTCACTCACCCACACACTCACAGAGGCTTCCGTTTTTAAAATTAAAAAGCACATTTTATTTGAGTTTATACTTTACATGTTATCGAAGGTTGCGCCTCAAATTATCATATTGCTACACCATGGATACTGTCTCTTCTGATTTCATGAGTTTTTATTTCTTCTAAAAACTATTACACATAACATTTGCGAGGCTTTTCATTCTCAAAGAATTATGTATATATAAAGAAAAATTTTAAAAAATCGATATCATACGCTTTTTTTAATGAAATATGCCACACAATCATCTTATTACTCTTTCATTTACATGCATACTCATCTGTTGTACATTTAAACAACCGTTTTAGCCAACGAATCATCGTCTTACTCTCTTTTACTCAACATTACATGGTGGACATCGCTTCTTACGGTGCTCTCCCCTTTTTCCCCGGTTACCCCAAATTTCATGTTCTTCAAGTTCAACACCACCCCACCCCCCCAAAAAAAGCACCAACACAACAACAACAACAACAACAACAACAACAACAACAACAACAACAACAACAATAACAACAACAACAAACCTTTCACTACTGGATTTAACAGAATCTCTTCCACACCTAACCCTATTTCTTACCCACTTCAATAAGGATTACTTTTGTTGTATCGTTTCCACACAGTTTAGCAATTTTTTATCGTGTAGGGCAACGTTTTCTTAAAAAGAAAACAACAACAAAAAACAAAAACAAACAAACAAACAACCCCCCACCAAAAAACATCCCAACAAAAAACAACAAACATTGATATTGTAACACTTTTTTGCACAGACGGATAAATCTTCTCCCTCTGAGATCACACGTGCTTTCAACTGCAAAATGAAGAAGCTGAGCAGCGACAAACTGTTGAACTTGTGTATTTGATGAGTTATGTTCCTTAGACCTTGTCTTAGCAGTTTTATACGTTTGATCATACAAATCCAGAGAAAACGATATATCGCTTAGCCTACCTGTAACTTATTTTTTAAAACTAGTGTTGTGGTATTGTTGGTGTCAGCTAAATTACCAACACATTTTAATAGACTCGTTTTTTTTGTGATAGAAGGTTTCTATTAATACAATACATGTAATTGAGAGTAGGAAAGAGAGGTGTTGGTAGTCTAGGGGTTAGGCTACCGGGCTCGTAATAGTGAGGTTTCGGGTTCTGGGTTTCGAGCCTCATGCCCGACTTGCATCCTTAGGAAAATCAATTTACGAAAATTTTCCTCACTTCACACATAGACAGTGAAAGATCTTGCTGGGATATTAGTGTTTTAACGCATATAAAACGACAGCGTGCACTGCATGATTCAAAGGAATATCAGATTGTTTCAGAATGCTATCAGGTCTGTTGAGGTAATACCATAGATCGTAAAGCGCATAGAGCTTTTATGCGGGAATTTGCGCTATACATTTGCTATCCATCTATCTATTATTATCACTATCATTAATATTATTGCTAATGTTAATGTTATTGTTATTATAATAGATGCCACAGACACTCGTTACTCAAAAGGAGTAGTTTCAGTAGAAATTGATTTATCCATCTATCTATCTACCTATCTATCTATCCATCCATCCATCCATCCATCCATCCATCCATCCATATATCCATATATCCATCTATCATTCTTATTGTTATTATCATCGATGCCGCTGACACTCGTTATTCAGCAGAAGTAGTTTCAATAGAAATTGAAGCAGCAGCAGTAGAATTAATACTAGCAGCTGCAGCTGTAGCAGCAGTAGTATTCAAAGCTGTAGTAAAATCAACAGCAGACAGCTGCACGTCGTACTGTACACCTTTCTATCTGAGTACGTATGTGGGTGTGCGTCCTTATCACTCATGCTAGTCAATTCTTTCTATTCTTCTTATTCTTTTCGTTCATCTCTAAATGAACATCCCAGTCTCTAGTGAGAAGGCTGCTGTTTGTTGCAAGTCCTCTAGGCCCTCAAAGAGTTTTGGGTCTCTCTGCCTAGATTTGGACCAGTATTTCCTTCTAAAACTGCCAGTCAAATGAAACTCCTCACTGGCATAATGCATATTATTACTATGCTACCTGTTGAACTTTTTAACCACCCGAGGTAACTTCCCAGCCTGGCACAGGGTTCAGGTGTTCTTGGTTGTCACCCACACTCTCTGTTTTGACTAATTAAGAATCAGAGTACATGCTGTCAGGCTCTCAGATTTAGCTTGGGTTTTGCTTATCCCCTTCAAACAGCCAGTTCCACATTATGTGTACCTGCGTCTGTGCTTCCAATCTGTCGCTGTTGTTTGCATGCTGTATCTCTGGTTCCGTATAAATGGTTTTGTTTTCGTC